CTAATACAGGTACATAGTCTTCCCTAAAATGGTTGTAAATGACGTAAATAGTGTTTAAAACACGTACATATCTTTAGCCGCATTAAAAGAGGATACCTAGGTAGGGTTTCAAGCGTTTTTTGCTGATTTCATACATCACAATTAGCGTTCTTTGGAAATTAGTTTAAAACTGTTTCTTCGTGGCAGCCACCTCAGTTATGTATAAGGACTTGAAATTGAATTGTAAAATATTTAGCATGCTTAACGAAATCTACCTTTAAAGAACATTTGCGAAAAGCGAGAGATTTAAGTTCACAGTCCAGGTAAATATAGAAACTAGGCCTGGGTGACACTGTGTTGCTGTTGATGCTGCCCTGTGAGTTCGTGAGTTATAACTCATCGCGCCTCACTGCACCGTACCTCAAATTGCGCTTGTAGCGGAATAATTCTTGAAATCAGAACTTTTAAAGGACATTTTTAGTTAGTTCAAATTTTATTGGCTTCTGTCATCTCTCAGAAATTGAGCAACATTTTCATTTCTAAGTGATTTCGTCGCCGTTTTTGGTTTAGTTAATATTTTTAAAAACACAAAATTAATTCGGTTAATAATTTTACTTTTTGCGTTGTGTATTAATCACTGCAGATTAATGAAATGCAGACAAATATAAGTAGCTCTAATTTTAAAGTTAAATTAGTGAAAGATCGGCATTTGGAGCGTTTTTAGTTTAGCTGTTGTTGACTTTCCTTAAGATGGAACGTAAAATTTGCATTTCAAAACATTGCAATGCAAATAGGCACTTTCTACAAACAATGTCAACAATAAACAAACTGCAATCGAACTGCCAAGAAAAGCATGAATGATGGAAAGGGCGAACAATTATATGATTAAATAATCATATTTATTCTGTAGTTCGGTGTCGTTTTTTGTCGAAAAGGTGTTTGAATGTCAGTTTGCAGCCGACAGAGGACGAAATTGGTTTATGATCTTTTGTGTAGTGTGAATGGCGTTCTAGATGGAAAATATAGAATCATTATCACCTTATGGCAAGTGCGGTAGTTTCTGAAAGTGTAGTGAAGTTCTTTATATTTTTCTCTCTTTGCTATGGTAATTTCAAATAAATCTGGCTTTGGACGGATCTCCGACCGTACTAAACACATTTTCTTCTTTCTTTCCAGGTGGCACTACKCAGCTTTCAGTAAGTTTAGCATTACTTAGCCCCTGTCGTACATGTAGACATTTTAGTCCCATATTCATCAACTGACTGGTAGCGTATCAATTGAGCTATTCTTTGATMGTTGATTTTGAAACTTTGGGAATATTTTGGGCAGTTTTGTATTTTCATATCAAGCTCATCTGAAGCTTTTCGCTAAAGAAACKCTTCACATATGAACATTTGTTTTAGTATTCAATACAAGAAGCATCAGCTTACGGATAGTGTGGATTTCCGATTAATTCATTGATTCCTTCACAAGATATTTCAAACCTTTGTTAATATTTCGGGCGGCTTTGTATTTTTACATCAAGATTATCTGAAGCTCGTCTCCAAAGAACGGTTTCAGATATGCAAATATGCGTTTCAGCTTTATTAACAGTTATAACAACGAGCGTGAGTAAATTCTGGTGGATTTGTCTGAAAAAGTCACACGAAAGTTGAATATTAGACATTTAGGTGCAACTTTTTGCCAACATTTCATTAAAAAAATGTATTCTACAGAATGTCGATCTTTCAAGTTTCTACTGGCTATACTTTGGAAGTTGGAATTTTTGAAGAGTCTGCAGTTGCGTTAAAGTTTTCATTTTCAAAGCAACAGTTAAGAAGCGGGCAAAATTCAGGATTTCATGTGATTTGAATGATTGTTTGAAGGTTTGAAGCAATTTTATCGACATTTAGAGCGTACTATTCTTTACTGAACGCACACCTCTGAGCGTACAGATTATTTTTCCTTCCTGAGAAATTCATTTTCGAAAAACGCGATGCAAAATGTTTTCTGCAGCAGCTTTTTCAAATCAGAAGCAACATTTCCTTAACGATTAATGAAATTGGAAATATTGACTTTTAGAGCGAACTCTTTATTACTGACACACAACTCTGAACTTTAAGAGTATATTTGGTTTCTTAGTAATTTATTACCGAAAAACTCAATTCGAAATGTGTGCCGCAATAGTTCTCTGAAATCCTGCTAAATTTTACTTAGCGATGAGTGAAGTTCCACATTTTGTTGCCATTTATAGCGCACTCTTCTTGACTGAGCGCAAAACTCTGAACTTGTACACTATTTTTTGTTTCTAAGGTTATCGTTAGAACTAATCGCGTCTCACTGTGTCGCACTTTGAATTACACTTAGCATTTGTGCCAGGGGCGAATTAAAGCTTTATGATGCCCGGGACTCGAATTTTATTTAACACCTAACAAAATAAAGGTGACTTCTGACATTCTTTGTTAGTAACGTTTTACCAAATGGGTCACTGCAACGCTACTGCAACGGAGAGTATCACTGCGCCAACTCCTGAAAATTCACTGAGTTACCCACGCCTAATAGAAACCGATATACAGGGTGTCAATTTGAAAACTTCTCACCTTTAATATTTTTCTTGCAGTTATTTAGAGACCCACGTCAATTTTATTTGTAACGGGAAAACTTTAAATTAATATTTGTAACAACTTTCTTGTTTCAACCTCCTAAGAGGAGTAAATGCCACCATTAGAATATTAAATGGGATGAGGGTCAAGTGGCACATCGTGTCGCACAACGCGGGCGTTCAATTTCCTTCTCAGTGATATTCTACTTTGTTGCTTACAGTCCAGAGCTTTCCGAATAATCGCGTTTCAAATTTGCAGAAATAGTTAAACTTGCCTGCAATAAGATTTTGGTTTTCAGGTTAGTGTTTGCACAAAAATGATTGCATTGGGTCTCTTTATAGTACAAATTATTAGCAGAGTAGGTTACACCGTTTAAATCTTTGACTAAGACTAAGAAAGTCCAGTTTAAACAATTGATTTCTTATTTATAAATTATTTTACTTCGAGAAAAATAACTTTTTCTTTGCTGAAGAGAAATTTCTACAATAAAACCTATTTTCCTGCAAACAATAACAAAGTCTGTTTTCGAACTCCTAACATTTGGGAAAATTTCAAGAATTGCAATTCGCCTTTTAAGACCATCAATATCAGAAGGTCTGGTTTTATAAACAATGGACTTAAGATGTCCCCAAAATCCGAATAGGTGTTTTAGCGATGAAAGTTCGTTTTTCCTAAATGGAAATGTTACCAAACAAAATTGTTCATATTGCAGTCACGAAAACCCGCATATTTTTAGAGAAGGACATACTCAATATCCTCTAAAAGTTAATGTTTGGGCCAGAGACAAAGAATTATATCTTCTTTCTGGTTTGGGCTGGTATGGTTGGAAAAGCTATTATTGGTTCTTTATTTATTGAAGAAAGCTTGACAGGTAATTTAAATTGTTTAAACTGGATTTTCTTCCTCTTGTTCAACGATTTTAATACTCTTCTAATTATTTGTACTATAAGGAGACCCAATGCAATTATTTTTGAGTAAAAAATAACCTGAAAACCAAAATCTGAAAACCATGTGCCCCTTGACCTCCATTCACATTTATGATTCTAAGGGTGGCGTTTACCCCTCTTAGGGGGTTGAAGCAAGGAAGCTAAAAATATTCATTTAAAGTGTTCCCCTTACAACTAATATTGACGTGTCTTTCCGTTTTTTCATATTTTTAACCGCAAGAAAGATATTAAGGGTGGGAAGTTTTCAAATTGACACCCCGTATAACATATTATTATTTAAAGTTCATTCACCATTGCATCAATAATTGATTTAAACAAATTAATTCCATTTTATGACTTAATAATTTTCTAAATTTATTTTTCACAATGATTAACATTTTCAACAATTTAAAATTACCTAAAAGCGCTGTTAACATTTCCAACAATTTTCTTTAATTGTCAATTACCTCAGCAGGAAAAGCGGAAAGCCAATGATTTGCTATTTTCATAACCTAAATAGTTTTTTCACAAATCATTTAACAAGGCATCAAGGCATTTAACTTTTTTGCTTGTTGATTTTCGGATTTAAATAGCACATTTTGTACCTTTTCTGCTTCTCTGGCTAGAATTAGCTATTTCGTTGATACGCCTCCTTTTTTACGTGTCTGCAATATTTCCTTTTGTAAAACCTGTTAATAAAACTTTGTTGCTGCCAATCTTAAGTTCGCTAAGCTATTCCACAGCCACAAAGTTGCTTCTCCGCTTTTTAAATGCGAACAAAAAAGTTTAGTACTAAGTTACGCTACACAAGCGTAATTCCGATTCATAAAAATTCCGCATATTGAAATATGGCTATTTAATCCCGCTGATATTTTTGGAAAAAAATTTGCGTTTTTCATTCAGACAAATAACAATAAAGACATTCTAAGGAAGTCGTTAAAGTTTTAAACGACTAAACGTGGAAAAATAAAATTACTAAAAACTTTTCATCATGAATATTTATTTATGTTTTCTGATAATAAAGATTTAAATTCACGGTGAATTCAAAAACAAAAAAAGGAAAAACCCTTGTTGATTGTTCTACAAAAAGTAAACTTAACGTAAATGTGAAAATACAGTACGAGTAGAGAGCTAAATTTGATGGCCTTACCGATAGGGTACTAAAATATGCTTGAAAAATAATACATACAAAACAAATATCTGCAAAATAGTAAACCACCAACTACTAAAAAGATGCGGAAAACAGCAAAAATGCTTTTAAAATCGATGTATAATCAGAAATACATTTTTTTAAGTTTTTCTTTGTGGTCTTCAAATCCAATGATGTAAGATTATATCGTGTATTTTTCCTTATCAAAAACAACTAATTGCTTCATAGTTGCAACTATAATCAAAGTTACTTTTGTTTGCAGCCGCGTGTTTATGAATGGAGAATAAAATAAAAAAGCAATTAAAAAAATGTTTATTATAAGTACGGCCATCAAAAATTATATTTAAAAAAATATGTACGTACATTTATATCCAATGGCTCTTCTTCCGGTGTTAAAGCCAAAGAGCTTTTTCGGTGATGCAACATGCTGCGGCTAATATCTGAAATCAATAGAAATCCTAAGATGATGCAAATTTCCAACAATTCAATATTAGCAAGATAAGTAGAGGTGCGAAAGGGAAGCAGTTAATTGGGAGAAAGTTGCAGATTTCAGATTTGATGTAATCCAACTCGGAGCGTAAAGAGTTAAGTTGCACCAAGCTGATGAAACTTTCGGTAATATTATACCTATATTCTGGCACACGGAAGCCTTCTTCTAATTTTAATAAGGAAATCCAAGCGAAAACTTTATAATTGACTGACGACTTTTTGGCGAAATATACTAATTATTGCGGCATGAAAAAAGGAAAATAAAATCACTGACCTGAAAATTATTCAATTTTCTCTTGGACTGAAAAGTTTGAGGATTAATTAATGCGTATATAAGTAAGAATAATGTGGAAAAGGGAACTTTTTAAATGCATTCCGATCTCCAAAACATACAACTTGAAAAATGTCATTGATAAAATTATTGAGAGAAAAATGTATCCATCCTTTTCGCCTCATTTAATATACATATTGAATTTTAATAATAAATTGATGACTTTTTGAAATAAGTAAACATTTGTTGCTGAATATTGAAATTAAATAATTCGCATTAGTCAGAAAAACTTGCTTCTCCTAAAAACTTACCAGCGCGTTTCAAGCGTAAGACTGTTAATGTTCCAACGAATGGAACGGTATAGCACACACCTTTGAAAAAATCGCACTGAGATTTATTACAAAAACAAGATATCCTTAAAACAAACTTCTGAAACCTTCAAACCCATTATATTACGAACGTACAAATGTGTCGAAAATATCAGAAACACTGCGACAATTATAGGCAAAATGGAAGAAGAACCCCCGAAACCGGCGAATATAGCACCCCTATGGCTCACAAGGGAAGCAATCCCATTTTGCTCTTGTCTCGACCTCCCTAAATGACCAATTGCTAAACATGTAAACTCCAGTACAATTAAGTAATTAGCCATTACTATACCATGAAGGGCACGGGTAGAAAGATCAATTGGTCAATAGCCTGTTTATTTCAACGAAAGAAAAATGGTTTGTTGCTGAAAATAAATTGGAAATAGATTGAAAAGTTCTAAAATGGCCCACATTGTATTTAAAGATATGGCAGATTTTATAAAACATAAAAGTAACGATTCAATCTTGTACTTTAATCTCAACGTAAAATATCTTAACATGCATTTTTGTTCACGTAAATAGGAGAAAAAATATTTTAATATTTTCTCAGCTATTGACTCCCTAGAAAAGTTCATCCTCTGACCAACGAAAATGTTGGGTGTAAGTCATCAAATCATTGAACCATTACAAATGCTTATAAATTCGCGGATGTAGGTTTACTTTGGTAGTTACCGACTATACGCTAAGTTTCCATTTTGATGCATTAAGATGTTCAATCGATATTTAGATTGAATTTCCTCAGCACAGATTGCCTGTGGATTAGTGTGGAACACTAAGTCGTTAGGGGTTCAGTTTTATTCCAAAGGTCTGAGTTTATTTAGCGTGAGCATAATCAAACTGAAGTCGGAAGTTTACTATAGACTCGGAAGGTACGATAGTAACTTTATCAAATTATTTGAAATATTTATGAAAGAAAGCCTGTATTCCAATAGAAAACATTAGTATCATTTGATGTGGAAAAGTTTTAAATATAGAAACTGCAGAAATTAAAAACTTTTATTAAATAAAGCAGAAGCAAATGCAAAGAAGAACTATTCAATTAATTAGCTTCGGTGATTTTAAATGAAAATGTGTATTAAAAACTAGTTTTGTGTACAGGAAATCGTATTTGACGTGGAAAAGCTAGAATAATTATTTTTCCTAAAATTCCCACGAGATTATATTTAATTTTTATATTAAAGCTCGCCATAACGGATTACTCAGAAAATGTTTAATGCTATAGAATAGCAAATATGTTACCCATGAAAGTGATGGAGCCAGTGTCCAGATTCCAAATGATTTTGCAACTAAAGAACAAATATTATTTCAATAGAGACCATTTTGATACGCCACCCCAATAATAGACCAGTTCCAATTTGGAAATCAATGTGTTAATCTACAAAAGCGGATTGTCGGTCGTCGAAGATATTGGCAAATATATCTCGATTACGGGCTTTTCGAGACCTTTATAGATTGAAAGGGGAGGCCATTGAAACAGGAAATGTTGGGGATTTTAATGACTATACCTTTATTGAAATCTATGACGCAGTTGAATTTGTGTACATTTGTTATTGTCAGCACAATCTAAACAAGGGGCTTTTTCAACCAAAGAAAAAATATGTTCAACTAACAAAAACATGATTCGAATGTTTATTCATCTTTGATCTATTAACTAATCTAGACTACAATTAATGCTAATATGCAGTTAAATTGCGAATAATAAACTAATGAAAAAACAGGTTCCAATAAAATGATAATATTGCTACTACTGCACCTAATTAAAAAACGTTGATATTCTTAGTTAAGTAAGGAAGTGTATAAATTACTTTCAAATTAATGTATATTTGACAAGAAACTTATCTGAGCCATCTTAAAGTTTCTCCATTTCAAGCCTCAAAGCGTCTTGCACTTTAACTAGGAATCTTAATAAATAACTTTTCAGTAACGGCATCCGCTGGTTGTATTAGTCTTTGGAATGTAGCTTTTAAGCTCAGGAAAAACTGCTTTGGAAAGAAAAGTTTCTACCCAAAAAACGGAAATTTAGGATTAGTAAAACTGTTGATTCTGTACTGAAAATGTACGTTTATTTATAAAGGAATACCTTTGAAAAAGAATAATCTTGACGAAAGAAAGGAAGAAAGAGAGAAGAAATCCCTTTTCAATAATCTTTTTATATGAACGCAAATATGTAATTTTCTTCAACCAACAGGTATTGCTTAAAGTAAATATTTTTGCTTGTAATGTTGGTTCAGTAAACCTCCTGTAAAATAAATATTTCAGAATAACCCGATGTTTCAGAAGCACGCAGCTAATTTAAATAACACTTAAAAACCGTACAGCCAAATAGATGATTCGGGTAACCAAACTTGTAAGCTTTCCAAATTTTACTCCATTTTCCGGCGAAGTTGTAAATTTGAAAAGCTTTAAAGCTTCCTGCATTCTAACTACTGCGATAAGTTTTAGACTCAACAGGCGTTGTTAAAGCTGAATAATGTTCCGAAGTATCGATTTAAAAGTTTCACAAAGACACTTTAGTTTAACGTGCACGCCGCACGTTAAAACCGACCCCAAAAAGATAATTTTGGATTTAAATTAAAATGCTTTTGTTACAACAATCAGAAAACTAGTGAATTTTAAGTTTAAGTAACTGTTATATTCATTTAGAGTATCACAAGCACAAAATGTACATGAAACATCCACTCTAAAATGGTATCCATTTAGTATGAAATACACTAGTAGTATGTTGTTTTTGAAAAATCCCCCTAATATTAGCAGGTTAGTTTAGTTTAGATCTCAAATTAATTGAAAATACATTGAGTATCGCTCTGAAAGTGAAAAAGCCAACCAATTAATTAAATTAATTACTTACACAAATCGATCAGGAATATTTTGAATTTCATGCGCTTCATTACCATGTTAGTAAGCATACAATATGTGTGCTCTTTTACATGTATATTATAAACAATTTCGTTTCGCTTTTTTTGCGCACCAATTGGAAAATTACAGTTAAGGTAGCAGGTGTGGGACAATGATAAAAACGTCACTATTCAATTATCTGCCGACGTTTCTATTTTTATTGGGGTCTTCTTCAAGGCTCAAATTATGTGTGAACGTTCTGTCTAAGTAGATTCATTAGAGTGGATGCATCCCCATGGCAAGGCATTCATAATCTTTGAAATTCGTACTTATATGTTCATATGACTAATTCTACACTGCACACCGATAATTATGGCCAAATAATTTCGAATTTCAAAGATAATGAGTGCCTTGCCATGGGGGTGCATTCACTCTAATGAATATACTTAGACAGAACGTTCACGCATAATTTGAGCCTTGAAGATGACCCCAATAAAGGTAGAAACGTCGGCAGATTATTGAATAGCGACGTTTTCATTATTGTCCCACACCTGCACCTTCACTTTAATATGCATATTATTTGATCAAATTCAGCTCAGAATTGGTAATATTTGCAAACGTAATCTAAACGTATCACTTGTATATCGCTTATCTTTATAAAATTAAAAGTTGAAAGGGTTGTAGAGATATGGTGGTCTTCATTCAGTTGCTCTGGCAGAATTATCTTGACAGCTTCAATTGTTCGCACCATTTGAATAGTGTTAATTTCAACATATTTGCTTATCCTAATTGCATGGGATTATGTTGAATTGAAATTTGATTGACGCGGTAAATAAGTATCATAAAAATAAAAGATATCTAAAGATATAAACAAAATGTACTGTAAGCTTCATAACGTAAACCTTCAAGAATAATTTTCAAAGGCAGTTCACTACATCCCGTACTCGAAAATGTAAAGGGGATGAATTATCGATCCTCACGTTTTCATCCAAACTGTGCTACGTTCACCGAGGGAGACAACATTCCGTTTTAATCCAACTAAGTGAAATATTTAATGCATGCATATGATTATTTCTAAAACTCGATGGTTTTAGAATTATATGTATGACACTGAAATTAATTACTTAAGGAGAATTAATGGATTCGTAGGGCTTGTTTGTGTTTGAAATTCCTAGAAAAAACCAAACGAACCAGTCATGAAATATTTTAATGTTGACATAAGTATTTGTATAAATATAATTGTAATCGATACTCAATTAAATAAGCAACGTAATGAGTGTAAATTTTTAAAAATTAAATGAGAACTACATAGCACGCATTTTTCATTCAGGACAATTAAACTAATTCAGATAAATTTCATGAAGTTATAAGAATATTTTAATTTTCGACTTCACTTAACTCGATTCGCATTAAACATAATGTAGAAGTTTGGGCTTAAAAAGTAAACAATTTATAAACAGGTGTCAATTAAGTAGTG